TGAGGTACAGATACATAATTTTCTCAAGGTCACATAGCTTTCAAGTAGAGAGACTCCATTTAAATTATGGCAGTCTGTCTTCAGAGACCAAAGTAATAAGCACTGTACGCTATTGCTTCTCTGGTTGTACTTGTGGTTACACATGTAATTCCTGCTTTGTTTCTGATTGGCTGCGGAGCTACATGGGACTGAGCTTCAGTGTGTTTTCACAGGAGGGTAGGCAGCAGCTGACACACTTGTAGCATTGATGTACTGTAGGCAATAGGACATTTCAGCAAACAATGGCCATAAATTGGTCTATTAGTAAGATTAATTTGGCAATGATACTCAGCATATTTAAGAGTGGAAAACATCCAGAGGCAGAGAGATCAGTTAAGCTTTTTCACTTTTCTTGGAATGATTATAAGGGAGCCTGATTCACAGGAAAGGAATTGGCTGTGAAGCAATGCAGTGGAAATTTGAAGTAGAGCCACCACTTTTAATCCTGGTTTTATTGCTTAATAGACTTATTTAGCATTTTTGGGCTTCAGATTTTTCTCATCTATAAGACAGGGACAGTTGTACAATCTCTTAGGGCTCAAGTCTAATTCTAATACACTGTGATATTTCTGAATTGAATTGTTGATTGATTGAAATAAACTAATAATGGGGGTGGGGTAAAGCTCTGGATGATGATTCTGAGGTTATCTGTTTGGAAGTGATGGTTGGAATTTTTCTTCAAGGATGAAATAAATAACCCTGAGCAGTTCTGAGTGGTAAATATTTCCATCTGAATGTTTTGCAGGCATCACAAGTTCATTTTCTCCCCACAGTATATGTTGTTTCTCCGCCTGAATTTCCTTTCTTGGTTAATAGTATTACCATTCTCTTGCCACTTGAGGCAGACATATAGGTGGTCCTATTTACTCTACTCATTTATCTTTATCAAGTTGGTACTTATATTCTGTTGGTTTTTATTTTGTTTGTTGTCTCCCTAAACATTCCTCTTCTTTATTGACACTACTGCTTTACTTGAAACAGGCATTAACTGTCTCTTCTCTGGACTTCCTGGGTGGAACCTATCCTCTCCTAATACTACCCTTTCTCTTTTTTTCTTAAAATGTTTATTTATTTTAATAGTAAAGGAGAAAGTAGAGGAGGGGGTATTTATTTTGAGAGGGGGGCAGGGAGAATCCCAAGCAGGCTCTCCACTCAGCATGGAGACCCACCCATATGGGGCTTGAGCTCACGACCACGAGATCATGACCTGAGCCAAAATTAATAGTCAGACACTCTTCTGAGCCATCCAGGCATCCCTACCCTTTGCATTTCTGATGCACAAATTTAATCATACTTTCCTGTTCGCCTGAAAATAAAGTTCTTAACATAAGCACTTTACCTAGGCAATCAACATCTTTCCTGAAGTTGTCCTTGCTATTTCTTCAATTGTGTTTTTGACCCCTCTCCTTTGTTCCCTACATTTCAGGCTTATGAGACCGCTCAGGTTCTTGTATCATTGTCTTGTTTCATACTTCTTTTCTTTTGCATTGCCTTGAATCCCTTTCTCCTACTTTGCTAACCCTTGCTCTTGCTGCAAAACCAGGTTTACTGTAGTATATTCATTGCTTCCTTGCATGTTCCCCTTCATAGTGGCTCAGTCCTTTGTACAGTCATTCCGTCATATAGATGTCTCTTTTTCAACAGTACATAAGCATTTGCTTCTATATGTTTCCTTTACGGTGATGGTGAATTCCTTGATAGGAGGGACTGTGTCTTTGGACTGGAACTCTTAGCACAGTACCTGATGCATGTGCAACCTAGTAAATGTTTAGCTCAGTTACCCTTTCTGCATATCTATTAACATCTCCCACAACATATGATCAGAAATGGTAGACTAGATGTTTTACTACAATTTATTAGTCTGGTGATTACTATCTTAAATTCAATCATGAGTGTCTAAGTGGAAGATCTTAAGAACTGATTGATTTTACTATTGGCTTTTACAACTTTTTAGCTTTTTTCATATGCTTACAAATATTTTGAAATTGAAGATTACATTTTAAAACTCAGCATTGAAATTTGGGGCTTTTAAATGTGATTAGAAGGAAAGAATGTAGCCTGGCTGAAATGAATCTGAACATTTTTCCCTTTATAGCTCTTCCCTTTAACCCGTGGTTATGTATATAGGATGAATGAAACCTGCAAAGAACACACTAATGTAATTGACCTGAAATATTTATTTTACATGTAGCCTTGGATTAGTTATACGACCTGCAGAAAAATGCAAGAAGTGACATTTAGTTTACTTTAAACTTTAGAGAGAAAGGATTGTCCTTTATCAGAAAGATCTGTTTCAGCAAGTTCACATACAGAGAAAAAGTAACTTATTTGCAATCTTGATTTCTAATCATTGTTGAAATTGATCACCAGTCTTTCTGTTCTCTTTACACTGAAATCTTAGTGTTTGTTTTAAATGCTGTACTACATTTTTCTATAAAAAGTTATTGCAACATTCCCAGGTGAAAAGTGTAATTAACTTAAATAGCAGGTCTTTAGCTCAGAACTTTGAGCTTAGCAAATTTCACTGTCTTCTGCCAAGCAATTGAATATCTCAAATGATGACTATTTCAGCAGGTATCTTTAATGAATAAGTATTACAGGTAAGAACATTTTTTTCTTTTCCAATAAATATTAATGAGTTGCATTAAAATTTGTTAATCTTTTTTTAATTTGTTAATCTTAAAGTATGCTTTTGTAATTATAAAAATGTAGTGTACATTTTAGTGATGAATTTGTAACTCTGAAATTTTTTACAGTGTGCTTTTCTAATTTTTTAAATATTTTCTTAAGTATTTCACTGGTTATTATAATTCTGTTCCATAAACAGAATATCAGTATAGTTAAAATAAGATTGGGATCATAGACCTCTTACTGCTAATTATTTCAATAACTTACTTTGTTCTCATTTACTAGTTTCTTAGCCAGTAAAATGAAGCGTAATAAAAACCTCTGTCACTAACCTACCTTCCAGAGATAGTAGGAGGACCCAGTTTCCCCAAATGAAATGACAGCAATAATAGTAACACATGCTTATTGGCTTTCATTTTAATTGTTGCATAAAATCCGTTCATTAGAACAGCCATATGTGAAAATGATAAGCATAGTAAAGTTTCTTTTGTAAGAATGTAAGGTTGATCTTTGATAATACTTCAGTAATAAGCTGAGAAGGAAAATTCTTTTATAAAATATTTTTAAACTACTTTGTGAGTAGTTTGTTGCACGGCTTTTCAAACTGAGTTTAAAATATTAACTGCTTAGAAATAAAAATCAGTTGTAATATACAAATTTATTTTAAAGATTTTTAAAATTTATTTATTTTTGAGAGAGTATATGCACATGAGTGTGCTAAAGGGGGAGGGGCAGAGGGAAAAAGAGAGAATCCCAAGCAACGTGAACTCACTCTAATGAATGGTGTGATTATGACCTGAGCCAAAATTGAGAGTCAGACACTTAACCAACTGAGCCACCCAGGCATTCCTATTCAAATTTACTTTAAAATTTCATTAGTCCAATGTTTACTTTTTGTTTCTTCAGACTAAGGTCTCATATTTTCTTACTATTTTGTAGATATTATTCTTAAGACTAGCATTTTCCTGTATAAATCATTAAAGCAATGAAGTTAGACTAAACACTTGAAATTTCATCTGTATTAATATTGTTTTTCACAGTTAAACACTTTCGAGAATTACAAAATCTTTGACTCCCAAAATGATTGACATTTATGCATTTTGTCAATATTTCTGCAAGTTTTATTTGCTTAAATTTGTTTAGTAAATTAGTTATAAATTATTGTAATACACTACTAACAGAGTAAAAGAACAAAAAAACATGCTCAATTTCCAATGGTTTGCAATCTCATGTAATAATTAAAATATATATAAGTAATTTTACACAAATTATTGTTAATATCTAGTAAATTATTAGCCTTTATCAACCCACTTTTTTCAGTTTGACTACAGAGAATGGAGAAAGAAAAGGATGTATGTACACCAGCTGTATTTCACTAACCATGAGAGTAGCTTTTAGGATATTTGACATTTCTATCCTATTATATGTCTTCATTTGTGTACATGAAATTTAAGTCAGTATAACTGTTGCTTATGTTAAATGTATTAACCTTTTAGGTATAACTGTAAGCCTTCATAAAATAATGAATTCACCTTACTATGTATTAATGGCATTTTAGATCAGGTAGGCACTCAACTTATATGGTTTATAATTGAGCTTAATATATAATATCAGCAAATAATATTGAGGTATCAGCAGTTTGTAAAAGATTTTTTGGGAAAGCTAGCTTTTATATTAAATTATTTCAAAAGATTTTATAGATGGTATATGCCTTTCTGAATGTTGTAATAAGTTACAATTAGTTTTTTATTTCTAGAAGCCAAGTTTAAAAATTTATAGTTACTATTTGAGCTATGCTTATGAAGGCTCTTAAGAGACTATATCCTTCAGAATTCTAAATTATTTCTGTGAGTTTGCCACTTTAATTATAATAGATATCAAAATAGCATTACATTGAATTTCATAATAGATAAAATTTCTCTTTCTCTTTTCTCCCTTTTTAAGCCCTATAATAGTAAATACTCATGCATATTTATATATGAGGCATAAAACGTGCTTTCATTTTTTAAATGAAAAGTAATTCCTTTTTTGAAATTGTTTTACTAATGTATTATGTCCTTTATTTATAATCGTATTTAACATAGAGAAAATTTCATAAGTGCTCTTAACTTTAGAAAAGAAGGAAATACATGTCTGTATTAATTTATTTAGCACATTTATTGAATCTGTTTATTTTGTGCATTTTATTTTTCCCTTAAAACATTTATAGAAGTCATTTACAAATCTACTTTAGTTTAGATTTACATTTTAATTATTTTAAACATGCAAAAAAGAACTGTCTCATATTTTTCCATTGTAAATATAAAATATTCAATACTTATTTTGTTTTCAAGATTAAAAAATGAAGCTCCCACTAAGGAACAAGAACCTGTGTCTGAGGTAAATTTTGTTTTATTTGTACTTTAAAGGTTTATACATTTGAAAGTATTATTGGTTTAATTTTTCAGACATTTCAATTCATTGTGTCTACATCAATAATTATTGGTATATGGCATATTATCAGGGAAAAAAAATTTGAGATTTGTTTTTTGTTTGTCTTTAGATAATAAAAATATGTAACTCCAATAAGGTGTTTTTGTTTTTACAAAGGCATCACATATTTCACTTGCCTGTTGTTTAGTTCAACTAGTGAGTTAATGGAGATAAATTTATGATATAAAAATCCTGAAATCAGTAAAACCTCAAAGATTTGACACTTTGGAATACTAATCTTTCCAGATGATTATATTTTCTTGGATTTTTTAAAAGACTTAACTAGTTTTTAAAATAGAAATATTTTATGTTTTAGCTACTTATTAAATGTGTTTTACCTATCTTAAACTGGTACTCTTAATATAACACTCAGGATTATCATATAAATGTTATTTACTAGGCAGTCTACTGGATGTGTATAGAAATAGTTTTGCTCAAGTACTTGTTCTTTTGATGTCATTATTTTTAATATTACAAAATATTACATGTCTCCTTCTGAGTGTAATGAAGTGAGGCAGGTTCAGCATTTATGTTTGGAACAGCATTTCTTGTCTTGTAGAGTTAGTGAGACCTAGACAGAATTAGCCGCCTTCTTCCAAGCAGCTTTCTTTTACACCACAGAAAGTTTCCTTCTGTTTGAAACGTTTTTAACTACAAATAAGTTTCATAGAAATGGGATTTTTTTGATTATATGATTATTCTTGAGTGAGTTTTGGTAGTTGTAGTTTTTAATGTTGAATTTATCTGTGTAGAGTTGTTTGTACTATTTCCTTATTCTTTTAATGTCTGTAAGGTCTGCAGTGATAATCCTCTTGTTCATTCCTGATGTTAATAGTTTGTGAGTTCTTTTTTTTTCTATTATTGCCATATATTTTACTTTTATATAGGTTATAAAGACAAAGTACAGTGTTACTGTTTTTGTTTTAGATAGTTATTTTTTTTAGAGCAGTTAAAAATTCTAAAAAAAAGTTTCACATTCACCGCTGTTTTTACCATGCCCAATGCTCGTTGTTTCTTTGTTAGCTCCCCATTTCTGTCTAGTATCACATTCTTTTTGCATAAACAACTTCCTTTGATATATTTTATGTTGCAGATCTACTGGTAATTAATTCTTCTGTGCTTTTTTCATTTAAAAATATCTGTATTTTTCATTTTTGAAAGATATTTTTTGGTGAGTGTAGAATCATTTTATTATCTCTTGGTTTACATATTTTCTGACAGAATGTCTTACTGAATTTTGATCTTTTATATATATATATGTATATATATATGCATATATGTGTGTATATATATGTATATATATTCATATATATGTATATATATATGCATATATATGTATATATATATGCATATATATATGCATATATATGTGTGTGTGTATATGTGTATATATGCATATATATGTGTGTGTGTGTGTGTGTGTGTGTATATATATATATATAAATTTTTTGGTTGTCCTTAAGATTTTATCTTTATTTCATCTATAGTTCTCATCAGTTTGAGCATGATGTATCTTATTCTGGATCGTACATATGTTTATTTATGTTTATCTAGTTGTTTATTTATTTGGGACATTTACCCTGATTGGTGTTCTCTGAGCTGTCCTGAATCTTCTACTTTTGGGGTTTCAATTTCCTCTGAGTTGTCCTGTATCTTCTACTTCAGTTTCCTAAATACTATACCATTTGATGTTTGTCCCTGTTCTTAGATGCCTCGTTTTAGTCTCCACCCTACCCCACACACACTTTTTTGTGTTTTAGTGTGGGTAGTTTCTACCTATTGACCTTTATTCAGTTTCACTGATTCACTTTTTCAGTGTATCAGGTCTGCTGATGAGCTCATCAAAGGTATTTTTCATCCCTGTCATTTGTTGTTGTAGTTGTTGTTTTCCTAGCATTTGCATTGATTTTTGCAGTTTCTGACCCTCTGCTAAAATTCCCATTCTGGTCATGCATGTTGTCCTCCTTTTTTACCAAAGGATTTAACATACTAATAATAGTAATTTAAAATTTTCTGTCTGATAGTTCCAGTAGCTGGGTCATTTATAAGTCTGGTTCTACTGATTGCTTTGTCTCCTTACAGTCCATTTTTTCCCATTGCTTTTTTTTTGGTGTTATATCATGTTTGGTTAAAAGCAAGAAACTATATCTAGGACTAAGATAAATAGTGTATATATATCTGAAAATAGGTGTACCTTTTCTTATGTTAAGTCATTACTATGGAATTTTGTTTCACTTAATAGTGAGTTGAACTGGGTTGTAGCTTTCTTGTTGCCATGGTTACCCTTAACATACTACAGGTTCAATTCCTCTGGTATTTCTTTGTGCTTAGGGTGGGAGTTATATCACTGGAGGTTTTTTCCCTCAATATCCTTGTTTCACACTCAGCTTTAGTCCTTGTGACACTGAGTCTTAGAGGGTGTGTCTTTCTCTCTCCACACTGTTGCCTTTTTTTCAGCAGTAGTGCTGTTGTTTGTTATTTGGTGTTTGCTAGCCTGGAGGTGGGTGGTGGAGCGTGGGGTGATGTTCTGTATTCTGGTTTTGCCTCACTCTTAAGATGGCTGTGTTCTGGGTCTTGAGATTAGGAATTTTTTCTTCCATCCCCTAGCCACAGTTGGTCTCTGTGCCGTGGGGACAACAGAGTTTGCCCATCTTCTTTCCAGTATGTAGAGGCATGAAGAAAATTTATGAATCCATATGAATATGAATCCATATTTTCATCATGTCATCTACTGATTCTTTTCTGATACATTCATACTTGACTAGAATAAATCTTTGAACTCTTACTTTCCTTTGATTGTCCTGTTTCATCTGTGTCAAATGAAACCAGACTTTTATACATAAACCAAATTTCTTAAATTTATTTTTTGTTAAAAGAAAAAACCTTATACTAAAAATTCAGCAAGCCATCATCAGAGTTAAAGGCAGTCATATTGAATGGAAGGCTACATAGAACAATCTTGGTCCAGGTATGTCTTTCAAGTATAATGTGATGTGGATAGTTCTTTGAATAGATGCAAGTATTTATTTTAGGTACACCTGTGATAGGATGGATAGGTTGAATTAATCTTCAAGATTTTGATTAGATGGTGTTATCATGCCCAGATAATATTTTCCTGTTATCACTCTTTTTCATTCTGTAGTTTTACATTTTCTCTTTGAAAGTTAGTTCCTTTCCTATACTAGATTATAGTTGGAATTATGATTTAGTGGCTTCTAACATAGCCTCTGTTACACAACTATTTGTATTCTGTATGCTCAACAGTCTACTGCTATTGGTCTATAACTGTATGTATACCATGAATCTTCCCCTCCAATTTGAAGGTTAGTGGAGTTTCATTATAATGTAGGTAGGGAGTAAGAAGAATCAGGTAGAGATGCCTTTTTTTTCTAAGTTTTTATTTAAATTCCCATTAGTTAACATATAGTATAATATTAGTTTCAGGTGTACAATATACTGATTCAGCACTTCATACCACAACCAGTGATCATCACAGCAAGTGCACTCACTCCCTGTTGCCCATCACCTATTTTACCCATCCCCTCCACCTCCCTTCTGGTAACCATCAATTTGTTCTCTGTCGTTAAGAGTCTGTTTCTTGGTTTGCATATCTCTTCGTTTTCACTTTGCTCATTTCTTTTGTTTCCTAAATTCCATATATGAGTGAAATCATATTGTGTTGTCTTTCTCTGACTGACTTATTTCGCTTAGCATAATATTCTCTAGCTCTGTCCATGCCATTGCAAATGACAAGAATTTCATTCTTTTTTTATGGCTGAGTAATACTACATCTTCTTTAAACATTCATCAGCCAATGGACATTTGGGCTGTTTCCATAATTTGGTTATTGTAGATAATGTAGATAATAACCCCAATCTCAAGATTGGGGTACATGTATCCCTTTGAATTAGTATTTTGTATTCTTTGGTAAATACCTAGCAGTGCAATTGCTGGATGGTAGGGTAGTTCTGTTTTTAACTTTTTGAGAAACCTCCACACTGTTTTCCACAGTGGTTGCACCAGTTTGCATTTTCATCAATAGTGCAAGCCACATCTTCTCTAACACCTCATTTCTTGTGTTGTTGATTTTAGCCATTCTGACAGATATGCAGTGATACCTCATTGTAGTTTTGTTTTGTATTTCCCTGATGATCAGTGAGGTTGAGCATCTTTTCATGTGTCTGTTGGCCATCTGTATGTCTTCTTTGGAAAAATATTTATTCATGTCTTCTGCTCATTTTTGAATTGGGTGATTTGTTTTTTGGGTGTTAAGTTTTATAAGTTCTTTATAGATTTTGGATCCTAACCCTTTATTGGCTATGTCATTTGAAAATATCTTCTCCCATTCTGTAGGTTGTCTTTTAGTTTTGTTGATTGTTTCCTTAGCTGTACAGAAGATTTTTATTTTGATGAAGTCCCAGTAGTTTATTTTTGCTTTTGTTTCCCTTGCCTCAGGAGATCGATCTAGAAAGAAGTTGCTAAGGCTGATGTCAAAGAGGTTACTGCCTGTGTTCATGAGAATTTTTATTTTTTCCTGTATCACATAAAGTCTTTCATCCATTTTGAATTTATTTTTGTTTATGGTGTTTCTTTTTTTTGTTTTTTTTTTATTTTTTTTTCAACGTTTATTTATTTTTGGGACAGAGAGAGACAGAGCATGAACGGGGGAGGGGCAGAGAGAGAGGGAGACACAGAATCGGAGACAGGCTCCAGGCTCTGAGCTGTCAGCCCAGAGCCTGACGCAGGGCTCGAACTCACGGACCGCGAGATCGTTACCTGGCTGAAGTCGGGCGCTTAACCGACTGCGCCACCCAGGCACCCCTGTTTATAGTGTTTCTTAAGAAAGTGGTCCAGGTTCATTTTTTTCCATGTTGCTGTCCAGTTTTTCCAGCACCATTTGTTGAAGG